GCAGGTTTGACGAGCTGCTCTCCAATATTGTGTGGGTTTTTTTTGCCTTGGCAATTAAAAGCAAACATTCAAATGACACCTCCGTGGCTCTGAGTAAATCACTGCCTGCTTTTTTGAATACTTTTCTGATGTCTCTGGATCTTTTTGACAGGGCTAGCTGTTTTTTCCTCTGAAAAAGAATCCTGACCTTCATTCGTCTCTGGGTGTTTTGTTTTCTGATGTTGTCCTAACTTGCTCGGCTTCTTGCTGTCATTTCCTAGCATTTCACTACAAATCACACATTCTGGTCGACTTCTGTCTTGTCCTTCAATACACCCAAGGTTAAGGTAACTCTCCAGGTATAGTCAGACTTTTTTTTTAGACACTAATGAATCATAGAGGGACACACACACACAGAGGGACACACACACCCCCCTCCCCCTCCACAGCCCACCTCTCACCCACAACACAACCACACCAACAACCGCTGTCACACCTCAGACTGTACCCCAAACTGCCCCCCCGTCACACACACACACAGTGTGTGAAGAGGAAGTGAGCCGCCTCTTCCAGAGGCAAAAAATCAGAAAAGCACCAGGCCCAGACGGAGTGTCCCCCTCCTGTCTGAAAGCCTGTGCTGACCAGCTGGCTCCAGTCTTCACCAGGGTCTTTAACAGGTCCCTGGAGCAATGTGAAGTCCCCTCTACTTTCAAACATTCCACAATCATACCGGTTCCCAAGAAACCCTCCATCACAGGACTGAAGGACTACAGACTAGTGGCTCTGACATCTGTGGTCATTAAGTCGTTCGAGAGACTGTTGGAGGTCCATAGTGGGTCCTCTGCTGGACCCCCTGCAGTTTGCCTATCGGGCAAACAGGTCAGCGGATGATGCAGTCAATCTGGGGCTGCACTACATCCTGCAACATCTTGAACACCATCATCCCTGGAATCCTCTCCACCAAACTCTATACCTCCTCAATGTGTCTCCATCCATCTGTCAGTGGATTACCAGCTTTCTGACAGACAGGAGTCAGCAGGTGCGGATGGGAGACATCACCTCTTCAACCCAGACTGTCAGCACTGGCGCCCCCAAGGGATGTGTCCTGTCTCCACTTCTCTTCTCCCTCTACACCAACGACTGCACCTCCAAGCACCCATCTGTCAAACTCTTGAAGTTTGCAGACGACACTACAGACATCGGCCTGATCCAGGACGGTGACGAGTCTGCAGGAGGTTGAGCGGCTGGTGTTTTGGTGCAGCCAGAACAACCTGGAGCTGAACAAGCTCAAGACTGTGGAGATGAGAGTAGACTTCAGGAGACAGCCCTCGCCACTGCTCCCCCTCACCATCAGCATCAGCTGTAGAGTCCTTCAAGCTCCTGGGGATGACAATCACCCAGGACCTGAAGTGCTCCCATTTCCGCTGAACATCCGCTGCATCCTCAAAAAGGCTCAGCAGAGGATGTACTTCCTGCGACAGCTGAGGAGACACGGTCTGCCACAGGAGCTGTTGATTCAGTTCTACACCGCCGTCATC